TGTGGCTCAGTGGTAGAGCCCCTGCCTAGAATCCCCAGTGAGGGGCTGGGGTGTGGCTCAGTGGTGGAGCCCCTGTGTCTGGCAGAGGCTCTGACCAGCAGCTCATGCCCTCTGCTGTGCCCATTGCCCCCTCTCCTGTCAGCTTCCAGCAGCGAGTGGAGCGATTCCACGAGAACCCAGTGATCCGTGAACTGCCCTCTGAGACCTACATCAGCAGGACTATCTCTCTGGTCAACTGTGGGCCCCCCCTGAGGTGAGAACACCCGTGGGGGACAGTGTGTGGGAGTCTGAGTGACAGCAGAACGGAGGAAACAGATCCTGGGGGAGGGGAGCGTAGACACGGGACTTCAGAGGCATCGGGTCTGGGGGATGGTGGGGGTGGTGACCCACGGCCGTCCAGACTGCAGCATCCATCCATCCAAGGGGAGTATCTGTGTTAGAACTGGAGAAATATCGAGGCTATACTCGGAGAATGGAATCCCGAGTTTGGATCCCTAGCAGCCATTGTAAACGCCAGGCATAATGAAACTCTTTTCTCAAAAAATAAGGTGGAGGCTTGAAAGATGGCTCGGTGCTTAAGAACACTGGCTAGGCCAGCTGTTGGTGGCGCACGCATTTAATCCCAGCACTCAGGAGGCAGAGTTTGAGGCCAGCCTGGTCTGCAGAGTGAGATTTAGGACAGGCACCAAAACTACACAGAGAAATCCTGTCTCGAAAAACAAACAAATAAGCAAACAAAAACAAAAACGACACTGGCTGTTCTTCTGTGGGACCTAGGTTCGATTCCCAGCACCAACTTTTTCAGGCTCACAACTGTGTGTAGCTCCAACTCCAAGGGATCTGGCGCCCTCTTCTGGCCTCCAAAGGCACCACATGCAAAGGAGGAACATTGATAGACATGCAGCAAAACACCCCATACACATAATTAAAAAAATTAAGCCATTGATGAAGACACCTCATATTCACCTGTGGCCCCCACATGTGCGTGCAAAGAAACCTTTCTTTTCTATTAACTTACTTTAAATTGCATTTAATTTTTGAGACAGGGTCTCTCTAGCTCCGACTGTCCTGGAATTTGCTATGTAGAGATGGACTGGGCAGGCTTTGAACTCTCAGAGGTCTGCTCTCCTCCACCTCCCGAGTGCTGGGATTAAATGGTACGTGCCCGGCCACATATAATTTTTAAATTTAACTTATTGGCTAGGTTTTTGGCACCGGGTCTCATGTATCACTGAACGTTTCTGATCCTCCTGCACCTGCCTCCCGAGGGCTGAGGGCACAGGCAATTGCCTCCATAACAGGCTTTGTTGATTAATTATCGCTGCTGAGATGAAGCCGAGCTCCTCACACCTGCTTACTACCCTACCACTGAGCTGCACCCCTAAATGGCCTTCATAAAATTGGGGGTTCAAGCGGGTGAGATGGCTCGGTGGTGAAAACTGATGGCAGCCAAGCCTGATGTCCTGACTTTCACCCCTGACATATGGTGGAAGGAGAGAGCTGTCCTCTGTCTCAAGATGTCCTCTGACCTCCACACGTGTGCCTTAGCAGGCATGCCCCCGTAAATAAAATGATAAATAATGATGATGATGATCCTCCTGACCACCAAATTCTGGCCCGTTTGGGAGAAATCAATGGTATTGGTATTATCCACATATATTCTGACTGGTAGTTTACACATTTACCAATGCACTCAAAAAGATAGCTGGGCATGGTGGCGCTCACCTTTAATCCCAGCACTTGGGAAGCAGAGGCAGGCGGAGCTCTGTGAGTTCGAGGCCAGCCTGGTCTACAGAGCGAGATCCAGGACAGCCAGGGCTACACAGAGAAACCCTGTCTTGGTGAAAAAAAAAAAACCTAAAGAAGGTAGAACCTGGGAGAATGGAGCCAATAAATGAGGCAGACTAAAGTCTGCAAGAGCCAACTTTTTTTTTTTTTTTTTTTTT